CCATCTTCTTGATGCAAATCTCCAAATCATCAAGGCTCATGAAACTGAACAATCACTATTTACTTCTAATTATTCTTGTGAGCACAGACAAAATTGCTAGAAGAGGATTCCCTTGGTAGGAAGTTGAATAGGAACCTGTTGTAATGTCGAGTTGTTTGATCATGAACAACTGAATTATGATGATGATCTTTATTGGAGTATAGTCTTGCATTTATATACATTTTTAGTTATCCTCCATCATTGGTTAACTTTGGTTATTGCTTAACTTTCGTTACTGTTTAGTACAGTAATCCATACAATTAATTATCTCTAGTTAAAGTCTAATATATGTCTACTTCCCCTCTCTAATCCTCCTTTATCCATAGATCAGTGACTTTGTTTGCCTGAGTTGTATTTGCTTGGAAACATTCTTTATCTGAGGTTTGCCATCTGAGATTGGAACATTCCTGCAATTAAAACTCTACAGGAACCCAAGTCATCTATTCTTTCATTGATGATCAATAGACAAGAAAGAAAAACAGAAGATAAATCATTGGCTACCAAAATGGTACACACAAAGATTTGGATTTCTGGGGGGAAAACAGTGCATTTCACAAGAGAAGGAAACAATTTTCTAAGAGGAAACTAAACCAGAAGGAAGGGAGAAATAGATGCCCAAACCAGGTGTAAAAAAACTGCTAAGTATAAAGGACATAGCTGTATGATATAATTGTAGGAGATGACTAGGCTGAGGGGTCAAACACATCATAAGTCATGAGTCCTGCAAGCCCATAAAAGATCTAAGTCCATCCCACCTTGAATATGTTTAACTCCTGCTAATTTCCCATGACCATTAGTAGCTCAGATCACTGTAGCGAGTTTAAGTTTGCAAGAAATCTTTACTCCTTTAACTGCCCAAATCTCCTGATTTCCCCAGTGCTTGACATTAATAGAGGTACAAAACAAAATAAAAACCTTCTTAGAAATTCCAAATATATGATAGTAGCAATAGAGTGACAAATTAACTGTAACATTCTCTATTGTTTGTGAACCAAATATGGGCAGCTAACAAAGAATCACCCTAACACAGAAAAGTATTTTGACCTGATAGTTATCACAGAAAAGTAAGAGTCATGATTAGAACACAGAAATTGAATGATCTTCTTTATTCAAAATCATACAGCCAATAAAAAAGGAGGAAAAGAGGTTCTATACTTAACACTCTCCAAGCATACACACATTTCTGAAAAAATTTTATGCTGCTCACAGTTGGGCAATCTTATAGGGGAGAAAGGCAACATAAAAATGTAATAAATATATAAAACTCAAAGTCTGCAACGGAGTGTAATAGGTTGGATTCCCAGGAGGGAGCGGGTACATTCCAGAAAAATAAAGGGCAGTTCAGTCTAAATATTTTGTGTGAGAGAAAGAGGATGAAGACAGCCTCACCCTAATAATTCTTGTAGTATTTACTTGATGTACATAATAGTTTGGCAAGACTCTATTGATATGTATAGAACAGGGGTGTCAAACTCAAGGCCCGGGAGCCAGATCCAGCCCATGGAAACAGTGATGGACCAGCCAGCAGGCTCCCAAGCTCCATTTTCACTGGCAGAGGGTTGCAGGAGATTGTGGCAGCCTAAAACGGAGCTCAGGAGCCTGTTTTCACTGCTGGAGTGCTCAGGCCACCATAGACGCCGACAGGGAGTGACATTGAGCTGGCCACACCCACCCTGGTCATGCCCTCAGAGATCAAGCACAACCCTGATGTGGCCCTCAATGAAATCAAGTTTGACACCCTTGGTGAAGAACAATAAAGAACCCAGCTTGAAAGAATTGCCATGTCCTTGATTTTTAAGCCTGTCATAGTCTTTAATATCCAACTCCTACTGAAAGGATATGGGCAAGATTTAAAGTGACAACAACAGCAAAGTGATACAGGTCACTTTTTCAGTCCAAGGATATGCATGATGCTTTTTAAAACTCATTATGAGTTTATCATCTGTACCTCTATTAACTGTCTGGTTTGGTTCTGCAACCTAACAGGACAGACACAGACTTCAGAGGATAATTAGGACTGCAGAAAAAACAATTACTACTAACCTGCCTTCCATTGGGGACCTGTATACTGCACGAGTTAAAAAGAGGGCTGTGAAAATATTTACAGACCCCTCACATCCCAGACATAAACCGTTTCAACTCCTTCCCTCAAAACGACGCTATAGAGCACTGCCCACCAGAACTATTAGACATAAGAACAGTTTCCTGAAAGCCATCACTCTGCTAAACAAATAATTCACTCAACACTGTTAAACTATTTACAAAGTCTGCACTACTATTACTATTAATCTTCTCATCACTCCTTATCACTCATCCCCTCCCACTTGTATTGTATGACTGTAACTTTATCGCTTGTATCCTTACAATTTATATTGACTGTTTCCTACCATGATTTGATTGCTTATTGTACCCTCTGACTATCATTAAGTGTTGTACCTTATGATTCTTGACTCTTGACGAATGTATCTTTTCTTTTATGTATACTGAGAGCATTTGCACCAAGACAAATTCCTTGGGTGCCCAATCACACTTGGCCAATAAAGGATTCTATTCTATTCTATTCTATTCTATTCTATTCTATTCTATTCTATTCTA